TATTGTTCGCTTACAAATCCCCAGAATATCTTCAATACCAAAAAGTCTCTCCAAAATCAGATGTTTATTGTCTAGGAATTGTCATCCTGGAGATTATGACAGGCAAATATCCTTCACAATATCCGAATAATGACAAAGATGGGATCGATATCGTGCAACGGGTACAGACATCAATATCAGAGAACCGACCTTTAGAATTGATTGATCCCGAGATAGCAAACAATGCATCTTCAAGTAATAAGATGCTTCAAGTCCTCGAGATCGGAGCTGCTTGCATTGAAATTGATCCTGATAACCGATTATCCCTAGACGAAGTTATACTAGGATAGAAGTGGTAAGTTAAATCCCAAGAAAAGCATTGTTTTTCGTTGCCCCATAGGTGACACCAGAAAAGGGTAGCTGAAGTAACCGACAAAGAATGAGATCCAGGGTTTGACGATTCCTCTATGGAAGAAATACAGGAAGGGGGATAGAAGATAAATATGAAGTAAAACAGAAAGTTATTTGTCGTAGACATCTTCTTTTAACTACCCAAAAATGAATTTTGTACTTAGCCATTTAATATTTTTATTGATTTGTTTATAAGTTAGGATAAGAAATCTTGAAAAAGAGAAAAAAAGCTTTCTCAAGAATGATTAGGATGTAATCTTAGTCATGGTTTTATCTCCCCATTTTGGGAAAGAAAGCATAACTTTAACTCAGAAAGTAACCATGTAATACGTGCAGAACGAGTAATTTTTTTTGTGCATGAATGAGATACATGGAAACCAGAAAAATAATAGCATAATTTAGAAACGGTCGACCGAGGTCATCAGTTCTGTTAAAAACGTCGGCCGGTCTGCATACTTGAAGCGCCTCGTCTGCAAAAACCAAAATAGATTAATAAAAGCTTGGTAGGCCCAGAAATGGTAAAGTTGACATAGAATAGTTCAACAACATTGTGTAGGTGGAACTTAAACTTGAGACAAGTTGATAGAGGAGCAAACTTTATCCTGAAATCGGCCCATGCCTAACGAGAACGAAAAGAATTCGATGATTACATTTGCTTGTCACTTGGTGACACCAAGCTCTATTGACAGTAAAGATTAAGCTCATATGCGAGGGAGGCTCCTCTTTCTCCATGTTGTGTGTAGAAAAGAAAACAGTGTAAGAGAAACAATTTCCCAAGCCAACAAAATGAGGAGCACCATGGAAACAAAATGCATTATTGATTATTAATTACCAAATCAAATTTTTCGAAAATCGAATTATAAAATACGATTCGTTAACTCGAATAATTTAAAAAAATTTAACTCGACTCGATCGAATGATCAATCCTGACGTTAATAAATGATCACTCCTGACGTTAATAACACAACAGACAGATATCTCTACACCTTTGAAGTGATAACTTGGTCCATCTGGAAATGCTGAAACGCGAAGCTATGCAACCCAGTGGCAAACCTTTTGGCCGCTTCTGACCAATCAATTTCTACACGGGACCACTCAAACCCCAATCCCTTCATCGTTCTCCATTTTGTCTACAATCCACAGACCACACTTCACGGAGGCACAGCTATGACCGAAGACTCCTGATCCAGGAAATCAAATCATTGTCTGTGACTCGACGAAGCACTGCAAACTCTTTCTCTGCTAAATTCTGTCCCAATTCGCAGCAATCAGAGTATGGGACTGCACCTGTATGGACCCCTGAAGCAAATGGTGATAGAATTCTTGACCGTGACGCAACACTTCATTGGAAACATGAGCACGTTACAGCACTCCACCCGCTTACACTTCCTTCCAGGTCCTCATCACCCACAAAGGCGAGTGCAAACAACGGCGCACAAAGAAGCGGATCACCTGTGTTGATTTCTTTTTGTCGCATTATATAATTTAGCTATGCCATATTGTTTCGAAATTAACACAAAACCCCTCGTACTATCAATCATTGGGTGGTCTACCAATCATGTCAACATGGTAAGTACTTTAAACTAATCGCCCTTGGTTTAACTTTAATTATAACCAGAGATGTGGGGCGGTCGTCCCCTAAAATTTTTAAATTTCTATATATTTTAGATATTTTTTTTAATATTTTTTATTGAAAATATGTTTCCCCCCAAAAATTTGCAAATTCTGCCATGCTTAAAACTTTATATATTCGTCCCTCTTAACACAAAATCTTGCCTCCGTCCCTAATTATAACCCTAAATCTTAGATTTTCTTAAATGATCTTTTTATAATAAATATGATAAAAACAAGGTTGAATTATATTAGTAGTCATTGAATTTTTAAGATGTTTTACGTTAAAGTGAAATTTTTTTCATTGTTATAAAAAAAAACTTTGATTTTGATCATTGGATCATTAATAACAGCTCACGTGACATCTTCAAAAATCTTTAAAAAAAAACTGGCAGCCATAGCTATTTTTTTTTCGTCGTCGTTTTTTATGTTTATTGATTTCAACTGTAAAAGAATTATTCAAATTATTCTTTCTTTTTAATTGATTCAAATTCATTGAAAAAAAATTTAGTATCAAATTTCAGTAAAAACTAAAAGTTAAAACTTTTGGACCCATGACTGTAAGTCTTTGAATCAGCTTAAAATCAAACTATACTAATCTTTTGACCAAACATAGCCTTCTCATTATTGAGATTGATTGGAGACCATTTCATCCATCGAAAATTTGACCTTTATAGTGGCGGTCAATTTAGAATCTTAGGATTTTTTTTATAAATATTTTAACGTGTATTAATTCCAGCTAACAACAATGATTGCAATGAAAGTGTATTAAATATTTAATGACTGTAATATAAATTTTAAAAGATCATTGACCAAAATAAAAGCACTTAAATTCAGTGAGCTAAAAATAATTAATAGGATCCTTATTCAGATAAAAAAAGGGTAAAGTATAGTAATGATCACTGAACATTTCTGAAGCTTGCATTTAGGTCCCTAAACTTTTAAAACTTGCAATACAGTCCCCCAACATTTATTCCGTTTGCAATATGGTCCCCGACTTAAATAACTGTTAGAAAATTAGGGTAAATTATATAAACGGTCATTGAACTTTTTAGGCACTTGAATTTAGGTCTCCAACTTTTAAAATTTTCAAAACAGTCCCCTAATAATTTTATTTTCTTATTAAATATAGATGTATAGAAAATATAAATGATTCAATTTATATTTAAATGTATGAATCATTTATATTTTTGATATATTTTATTTTTCTTGTATAAACTAGTATTTAAAATATGTTTATATTTTAATCAAAATATTTCAATATACGAATAAAAATATATTTATATAAATGTATATTTATATTTAGACGTATAAATAAAAAAATATATTCATATATTAATGTATGAATCATTTATATTTTTTGAATATTTTATTTTTAATAAGAAATTAAAATTATTAATTATATTAGAAATACTCAACTTAAGATTATATATATAATCATGAATTATAAATATGAAAAATATAAATATTAAATTTAGTTTAAAAATATATAAATCTTAAATTTATTCTTTTAAAATATTGTATCAACTAATATTTAAAAAATATATTAAATCTATCAAACAATTTATCAAATATAATCTTTTTTATTGTAAAAAAATATAATATTTTCCCATCATTTATTGCTTTCAAATTTTTTGCCGAAGTTCAAATCTCATTATTTCCGTTTTCCATTATATTCTTTTTTTTTCTGGCATTGGTCATACTATTAGTATATGTATTATTGTATATCTCTTAACACAAACGATGTTGTTAGCTTAGTGGCTCCACCCTGTATCTTTCATTTGCGTGACTCAGGTTTGAGTTTGCCCAAGACCCAAATTTTACTTCTTTGTAACTTAATTTTCTTCTAATTAGGTGGTGACATGTGTCACCAATAACATATATCATGATCATGTGTTAACATATGTCAGATCCTGGTTAAATAATTAATTTATTAAATTTTATTTAATTTAGGACCAAATTGATAGCATATATAAATAATTAGGTGGTGACATGTGTCACCAATGACACGTGTCATGATCATGTGCTAACACATGTCAGATCCTAATTAAATGATTAATTTATTAAATTCTATTTAATTTAGGACCAAATTGATTATATAAATAATAAAGATTGAATGTATAATAATGTCAATTCCTTTTAACTGCCACTTCATCATTTGTATCAATTGGTAACGACTAGTGGCTTAGTTGAAATAGTTAAATAATTATGTTGTATGATTGATAAATTTAAAAGATCGATGACAAAAGTAAAAAGGGCTAGATAGTTAAGTTGTCAACCTAGTAGTTTACACTTTTATTTATACGTCAAAATAACATTTTATAAATTTAAAATTCGAATTATTTTCAACCTCTTCTATATCCTAACTACTTTTTTTAATTAAATTATTTTTTCAACAGATAAGAATTATACTATTATATTTATATAAAAAATACGTATCACATGAAATAAGATGAAATTAAATAATAATAAATCTGACATAATTGAATTTAATTGAATTATTTTGGAATTTAGGGTTGAGAATGAAATTGATTTACTTTGGAAATTGGGGTTTAGAATGAAATTGAGGACTATTTTGCAAGTTTTAAAAGTTGGGGGACCTAAATTCAAGTGTCTAAAAAGTTCAATAACCTTTTATATAATTTACCCTAATTTATAACGGTGGTTTAAGTTGGGGGACCATATTGCAAACAGAATAAATGTTGGGGGACTGTATTGCAAGTTTTAAAAGTTGGGGGACCTAAATGCAAGCTTCAGAAATGTTCAGTGACCATTACTATACTTTACCCTAAAAAAATTAAAAAGCCCAGCTCTAATAACCCATGACACAGCCCACAAAAACAGAAACTCAAACCAGTATGATTTCACATTATGTTCTGATTTGTCACTCTTCATCTCACCCACATGCTATAAATCTCTTTTAACTCCCCACCTCCACTCACTTCACCATATAAAAAGTTACACGGAAAGATTTCAAAATCATAGAGAGAACAAAACAGAGCATTCAATGTTCGGTCCCATGCAATGGCAATTTCAGTCTCAGACACTCCAAACCCACCAACCAAACTCACTGCCCCGACCGAAACCCACTGCGTTAAATGCGAATCTTGCGGTTTCACCGAGGAATGCACCGTTGCTTACATCATGCGAGTCCGGGAACGTTACCAGGGCCGTTGGATTTGTGGTCTATGCATCGAAGCCGTCAAAGACGAGGCCCTGAGATCGGTGACGCTTATCTCCACGGAGGAAGCGTTGGAGCGTCACATTCGTTTCTGCGAGAAGTTTAGGGCGTGGAGTCCTTCAGATGAGACGGAACATCCTATTTTTGCCATGGGGAGGATTCTTCGTCGAAGCCTGGACTCGCCCAGAGCTCTTAGAACTAAATCGAGTAGCGAGTTGCCTGGAGTTGAAGGAGTGAAGCGCCCCCCTCCTCTGCTTCGATCTGAAAGTTGTTTCTCAGCTCTTTCTACCTGAATTATATTCTTCTCAAACTCAAGTTTAAAATGGTAAAAAAAAAGAAGGGAAACTGATGAACTCTTTTTCTGCATCGGATTGATTGTTATATAGACTAGATATCTCTAATGTTTCGGCATCTGAATTCAATCGACTTTATGTATGACTTGTATATAGCATATATGCTATATACATCTGATATACTACTTCAGGTTTCAAAGTTGTCTTCTAATCTATATTCTTGAACCTTGAGTGAGGAGTATATGAGCAATAAAAGGTGGTTTGGTTTAGTTTGTGTTTTGTCTCGATTTCTGCATATTGGGTAGAGAAAGCAATCGTGTAGCATGTGATGATTTATGAAAATGGTAATGTTTGTGCTGGCTTTATGAATCAAATTTCAGCTTGGCCAGCTGTGAAAAATGGCTAATGTGGGAAAGGGATTAAAGAAATGATGGTATAAAAGGTAAAGAAAGAAGATGACAGAATGAAATAGCGAGGAAATTTCCTGGAAACAAAGAATGATGTGGCAGAAGAGTATTATTTTCTTAAACTTTGTGTTCTGTGATCTCATTCCATACCATAATCTGAGTCATAGTGCAAATGTGGTGAGCGATTATAGTAGCCATCTGCAAGCAAAGAAGTTTCCGGACATGTCCAGCCAAATATGATGTATATACATGTATTATTTTGATTGGCTTCAGCTCTTGAAACATGACAGAAGCTTGAACAGGGAAAGAGTCCTTGATTGGCCATTCCGTTAGGTAGATTACGTCCAAGATTTCCTTTCATAATATGACTTGGAACAGAGAAGATGAAAGCAGCTGGAAAATACAGATGCAGACTGAATACGAAACATGTACAATCAAATCAAATAAAAAATTAAAATATCTCTACCTTTCCTTTTCTTCTCCTTTTATATTTCTGAGAAATACTTTTTCCCAAGACCAATCTAGTAAGGTGTGGTAAAACTAGGGATGGATTGATCTAGATGTTAAAAGAGTTTTATGTTCATTTGTAGTGTCATACAAAGTTGGATAAAACCAGCAGAATCACTTCCGGCACCAAAAGTCACTTATAGACCGAGACGGACGCAAGATTTTATATTCGGAAAGGCTAACTTATAAAATTTTAAATATGAGAAAATTTATAAAATTTTAGAAAGATAAATACATATTTTCAATAAAAATACAAAGAAAATATTTAAAATATATATGAATTTAAAATTTTTAAGGGTCGACCTCCCACTCGCCTCCTCTAGGTCCATCCTTGCTTATAGGCAAAGACCCTTTGTGACAACTGACAATTAGCTCTCTGTAAAATCCCAAGTTTCAACAGCATGTTTGGAGTAGAACTTAACTTTCTGGAAACTGGGCAATGTACCTTATCTGTAGATATCATTGGATTATTCCAATTGAGCGTTTTCAAATGGGAAAAAAAAACAAAAATCAATAACCATAAAATAACATGTCTATAATTGACATCGGGTTATCAACATTGCTTTGAGCGTTTGTTTTTACTTGAAAACTGAGAGTAAAGCCACCCATAGTTTCATTATCATTCTGTGTTGTTTTCTGGTATGGTAAAACTGGGAGGGGAGCATAATCTTGACAGAAGATATTGTATGCAACGAAATATTGACCCATTATGTGGATAGAAAATGCAGACAATGACACAACGTTAACATATACCTCACAAGCAGCCAAATCATGGGCCTAAATTTATCACTTGGCCCTGTACTGCTAAGGAGAATAATGGTTTGTTGTGCGATATAAGACCAAATTTCTGGACGCACATCTAAGAGTGACACCATGGGGTCAGATCATGACATATCCATGTTTCATAAAAAAAAAAGATAACGAGCAACGCCTTGAATACAGATATGCTCTTGTACACTAAAACACGTTGAAACCTGAAACTTCTATAGTCTTACAATAATAATATTATCAATCAAACTAAGATTCAATCGGGAAAAAAAAATTAGAGGTCTTCGAATAATTATTGAGACAAAAGAAGAAAAGATAGTTTTAAGCGATTTGAAAAGAATTGAGACATGAGCATATGATTTCAGGAGAGGCCCAATGAGCAAGTATTTCTTAAAGCAGATGTGGACGAATCTTTAGAGTAGTCAACAATCTTTGACCAAAAGACTGTAATTCAAGATTCAAGAATGACGATACAACCTGTTCACAGAGGAGGATATCATGAATGAAAATGAAAGGGAGGGATCAACACAAGAAGGAATGATTCTCAATCAAAATTTATCATAAATCAAATTCCAATCCTAATTCAGACAGCCAAATGTTTTTCCTAATAAAAATTACTAGAATCAACACAAAGCTGAAGAAATACGAGCAACTTTCTTCCGCAACGAGAAAGGTAAGTAGGTTCAACTGGATAGCCGCTTAAAATGATCTAGTGACCATACTTTTGGAACTCCCACTCACTATTATCTGCAAAAGCAAAACTATGGCATTAATTCCATGGAGTCAAAAGAATAGAACGGGGCAAACTATCCAAGTGGCATAAACATGGGAGGCAAAGCATACCCAAAGGACACACTTGACGGGTCTTCAGCCATCGGCTGATGCAGTGAAAGTGGAATGCATGGTTGCAGACACCTACATAAACAAAAGTGATTAAATACTGAAGAAAGAGTTCAGGTTAAGATATATTATAGTTTTTGTGTTCGTTTCAAGGAAAATGTCAAAATATGAATTCAGGCATTCTTCTCACCTTACACATGTTTATATTGAATGTCAAAAAATGAATTCAAGCGATCAAATACTGAAGAAGAGTTCAGGTCAAGATATATAGGAAACAATTATTATAGGACAAGCTATAAAATCCCAGGAGCAAAAAAATACATCATTGACAAGCAAATATACTAATGCCATTTAAGATGGTTGTCGGTTGTCCTGTTCTCTATGCACTCATCCACCAAATTATTTTTGACTCTTCAGAAAACCTGAACAGACAATTAAACATAAGATGAAATTTAACAACTAATTTTTTCAGCACTTCACTTAGTTATGGAAATAGGGTTTAGGGTTTAGAGTTATGTATAGATTTTGGCTAACATATGGTAATCAAAGGAATAGCAACCAATCTAGTTCATCCTACTACTTGGGTCAACCCAAAAGTGAGGACAATAATTAGCTTTGGATACCAAAAAAAGGAAGAAAAAAATTAACATTATACTAAGACTGCACAAACATCAAAAGCAATGAAGTAAACCACCAGGAGTGTCAACTTGCTTAAGCAGACGATCTTAAAGAAGAACATACAAAAAAATGAAGCTTGATGCCACTACTAGGTGCAGATTATCTAAGAGAAAGCATTAGAAACGAAAAATGGATACCGCCAACTTAATTTATCTATCACATTATCATCAGAAAAGATGTAGTTGTTTGAAATGTTCTCAACAAAAACATAAAAAGTGTTGGCACTATTTCTTCAACATTTAAGACAAATTTATTCTCATCTACACCCAGACAAGAACACTCACTAGGACTCAGTCTCTCTAACGTCAGTAAATCACCATGATTTCTTCCAAATTTACTCATGATTTCTTCTCTTCTACATCCAGACAAGAACATTCATTCCTCTACTTCATGAAACCAGCAACAAAAAGCTAGTTGAAAAATGGGTCCTAAAGCTCAAGCCTTCTGTTCAGTATAAAGCATACTCAAACAATCCTTGTGCTTTATATTTTCCTTCTCTTCTACATACATACATACATATTGCAAACTCAATTGTATAATCCCAAAAATAAACATGCCTAAGATATTACCATGGAGTATAAATAAGTGAGAGCAATGTTTCAAGGAGTGCAAAAAGGACACATACCCCACGCAACAGTGCATTCCTCACTGGCGGCGCTTGCTTGGTTGGCTTGGCATTCAATGCCTGAACAGCCAAATTAAACAATTGGAATTAACAAATCAAGAAAAAATCATACAATTAAATGAATAAAAAGTTGGGGGGGAAATGAATTCATAAAGACTTACATAGGTCCATGATGTGATTCCTGCAAATCGCACAATTATCTACCACAATATCTGTATCCATCAACCAAAACAGCTTTAAGGAAATATATAAAATATATAGATAAGGAAAATACGGAGAGATAGAGAATGTAGGGTTGTACCCCAAGCCCAGAGAGCAACCGCACTCCACTTTTTGATCTCGAAGCGCTTGGGCTTCTTAGTGGAGGAGGAAGGGGCAGTGCTGCTTGGAGCCTCGCCGACGGGAACCATCGGGACGTCGGAATCTATAGTAGCCATGACTGCGATCACAAGGAAAGGGCGGGCAGAATTTCTTTTCACTTTTGTTGAGGGGAAGAGGTAGTCAGTCGTATACGCTCGCAAAAGGAGGAGAACAAGGCACGCGCGTGGTTGCTCGAGTCTGTAAGTATAGGTAAACTACACTATTGGTGAGCAAACTATTATATTTATTCTAATTTAATCACCAAACGTTTTTTTTAATTCAGTCATTATTTTTTAATTAATGGTTAAGTTTTAACGATTTAATAAAAATGATGAAAAAAAGGAAATAACAAATAAATAATTTATCCTTAAAAAAATCACTTGCCAGTTGGTGGGGGAGCTCTAGAGTTTTCTATTATTCCTCCTGCTTTGAGAAAAATCAGCTTCAAAACCGCATTTGTTGTATGTACGGGGACAATATCTTCTCCTTCAATCGTCCATCAAATGATTGAATGTGCAAGTTTAATAATATTTTAGTGAGATTTTTTAAGGAAAACTGTCCAATTTTAATATATAAATAATTTTGAATTATTGTTTGTTAAAATATAATTTTATTATAATGACTATTGATGTGAAAACATTTTAATATTGTTGCCAACAGTAATATGGGTTTTGGACCTGATATGAGACAAGGTAAGCAAAGTGAATATATATATGGACTATACAACTCGACCTTATAGACAAGTTTAGCTGCAATCTGGATATAAAATAACTATTTGGTGTTAAAATTCCTTCTCAATCTCTTAAAAATGATATATAAAAAATCATAAGAATTATTATATAGATATTTGTATTATAATATAGACTGTGTTTTTTTTTAATCTTTTATATTTTAAAATGAGTACAAATATATGTATACGTTATAAAAATTGAGTTAAATTATTTTCAAAAAAGTAATAAGTTTATGTGATGAATTTAATTTATTGATGTGGTATAAATTTAAAATTTAAAATTTAAAATATAACATTATATATTTATTTTACTTAATATAATTTAAAATTTTTAATCAAGTGTATTTAATCATATGATATAGTTTTACTCTAAAAATTTATATGGTTAATTATATATTTAATTTAAAATTTTCTCTTAAGAATAAACTTATCATTCAAATTTTATTTAAATTTTTTGAATTAAATCAAATTTTACTTACCTTTAGTAAAAATATATCCACGTTATTTCCATGCTTAGCTGTATTTGACAATTTTGAAGATTTCGCCGTTGGGTTGACAAATTGGTGGTGATTAGCCATATTTGAACTTGTATTTTGCTTTATAAACAATTAAATTGACCCAGCTCATTCCAATAAAATCAACGAAAACTTTGTACTTCAAATAAAGAATAAGCAAAGTGCTTGGTCTCAAGAAAAACAAAAACACTCCCTCTTCTGACATTTGCCACATTGACCAATCTCTAATTACTGACTATTTACACCTTCATTTACATTTTGTAGTATTCCAACATATACTCTTATGCTCCCCTAACTTCATAGCGCAAAGGAGAATTCAACCCATTTCTATGATTTCGCCTTACGCCGTCGTTTTCCGGGTGAATCGGAGACATCCTCGGCGATCTGGGATGCCTATGGTGGCGATGATGGAGTCTGTGGTTTTCGTGATAATTGGATTTCTCTTTCTTTACCTCCTTGGGTTCACATTGTTTAGTGACAGTTCCCTTGTCTTCCTTTGGCGAACCACTTTGTGTCGGAACCGTATAAACAAAGGTACCGACGAGGTTGTCTTCATTGTCCTGAAGTGTGTCCAATGTTTTCACCACATCACTCATTTTGGGTCTTTGCTTTGGGCGGCGGCTGAGGCATTGGTAAGCCAAGGCAGCAGCCTTTGGTGCACCCGTTTCCGAGTATTGGCCTTCGAGTCTAGGATCCATTATTCGGTCAAGTTTCCTAGGATCTTTCAACATCGGCCTTGCCCACTCCACTAAGTTATGTTCTCTTGGACAACGGTTCTTGTCTACAGATCTTTTCCCTGTTAAAAGTTCCAAAAGTACCACTCCAAAACTATACACATCACTCATGGCCGTCAAGTGACCTGTCATAATGTATTCAGGAGCAGCATACCCGTGTGTCCCCATAACCCTGGTGGAAACATGCGTGTCATCCCCTTCCGGACCATCTTTTGCCAGACCAAAATCAGAAAGTTTGGCATTGTAATCCTGGGACAAAACAACATGTTTCAAAACGTAACGTCACTAAAACTGAAGAAAATCCTGAAAACAAAAACATGTTTTTTTAAGGACAAGATACTTACAGAGTCCAACAAGATATTTGATGCTTTGAAATCTCGGTATATGACAGGCTTTTCTGCTTCATGGAGATAAGCGAGACCCTTGGCAGCTCCAAGAGCAATTTTCATCCTTGTCGCCCATGGAAGAGAAACTGAATACCCTGCAATCATGTAGATCGACATTAATTTCGAATTTTTTCTTCTAAAACTGAATAGTAATATGCGGAGATATACTTCTAAACAGCTGATTCTCCAAGCTGCCTCTTGGCATATATTCATACACCAACAGCCTATGTTCTTCTTCGCAACAATATCCGATCAACTTCACAAGATGCGGATGCCTCAATTGTCCAAGAAACACCACTTCAGTCTGCTCCACAAAAAGAAACATTTATAAACTCTCTAACTATTACAACAAACTATGTCCAAATTAATATAACCAAATATTTTTTATTCAAAGCACTCACCAGCCATTCTCTATGTCCTTGCAGACCATCTAAATCCAAGAGTTTAACAGCAACAGGCTGAGCTTTCAACCCAGACCTAAGCTTATCGTCGATGAACCCTTTATGAACCGGTCCAAACCCACCTTCGCCTAGAAAGTTAGACGATGAAAAGCTTTGGGTTATCACCTTTAGCTCCCCGAGCGTGAAAATATGAAGATTTGAACCGGCAAGCGAGATAGACAAATCTTCAGAAAGCATTGAACTGGGATAACTCAACTCTAACATTGCAAACCTGTTAAATGAACTTTGTTTAGAAACTTCCTTCTGGGGTTTGGTTTCTGGTTTCACGACACCCTTGGAACAGGTCGGGATGATGGATCTCCATGATATTTTCATCACTGTCATTTGTATTTTCCCCCCTCTAAGTCTGAAGCTATAACTCTGCAGATTAACTTCTTCAACTTCAAGCTTTATACGATCAAAAAGGTAGCGGATTTGATGGAAAGCGGACAGATTTCAGGTAATGATTTGATAGAAGCAGACACTTTGGTTTGGAAAAAATATTAGAGAACGGTGAAGAATGTGTGATGGTCTGGAAGGACTTTGTCTTTAATAGGAAGGGAGGGGGAGGCTTAAAAGATTGAAAAATATTCAAACACCAAATCACCTACTATGAAAAACTCTTGAGATACGGAGGAAGACCTTGAAAAATATTCAAAGGCCTTGTACTCCGTATTCTTTAGATCTAAATCCCTCTACTATATAATTAGATTATTTCTAACAAAAAGACAAAAGCATAATTATTTTTTTCCCTTCATTCATCCCAGCTTTAAACGGGAAGAGCTTGGTTGAATTTTGGAAATTGACTTCATCCGGGCAACAAACTATTAATTAATCCACAAGGTGAAATTCAAAAGCATGGATTTATTGTGAACCTAGACAGCTTACCTTACACAGAACTGTTTTGGCTAGATTAAATACATGTAAAACGAGCTTAGAGAAAGACATGTGAATTAATTGTAAAAGTGAAATTCAAAGTATGTGTTTAATTTATTGAAGGTGAAATTTAAGGGTTTATCTTATTAAATATTTTATATCTATCATGCTGATCATACCAGCCAGCTATTTTACACTCGGACCCACTAATCAGGACAGCTTCTTCAAATTAAGATACGATTTTTCTGAATAGACTTCAAAAACAAGTATATTATATAGTGCTACATTGTCTTGAAGATTTACTTCAATATATATATATTTATTTGATTAAAATATTTCTTTTTCATGCTGACCCTACAACTCTAACATTGCATTGTGGCCGTTAAGATAGCTGATATGATGAAAATACTTGGTATGCACGATAATCGAACAACAAATAGAAAACAGTTTAATATTTACTACTTGGAATGGTGATTATGGAAAAGACATAAATTATTATTGAATTTGCATGTTGCACGGATTTTGCTGAGTTCCGTTTCGAAGATTCTTCGCTTGTTCAAAACAACTGATTTGAACTTGAAAACTTCCTTCTTTGATTTCTAAACATTTTATATAAAACAAATTGTTGTCGACATTTTTTTTCTCCAGAGGAAGCGAAACAACTGGGAAATTGTGTAACGTAATATGGTGAAGGTACTGGATTGGTTTGGAAGTAAACGATAGACTGCATCCAAGTTCAGTCGTTTAAATTTCGATCATTTTTATTTTAAACTTACTACCCAAATTAAGATGTTCCGTTAGATTTATGCCAGGTGAGTTAATCTAAACATATATATAATAATATTTATTAGAGTTACTATTTCATGGTTATAAAATTATTGTATTTGTGTAGTTAATTTTAGTTGTAGTTACAATTGCTCAGATGGTTGAGATTTTTGTCCTGGGATCTTCATCCATTCTGTAGGGAAAGAACAGTGTTGCTCATACCAAACACATGTTTATCAATATTATTGTGGTACTTGACATAAATGTTTGGTGTGATGTTTAATTATATATTTTTTGCCAACCACCTTTTGATTCTAAGGGTGGTGTGAGGACTTTTAAGGAAAGAGGTAGATATAAAATGGTGTTTTTCGACTCCTTCAAAACAATTAAGAAAGATTCATACGAGTACATAGAGAGCCACATATATTAAATGATAAATACGAGTATTTATGTGCAAGGATATTGAACTAATGTTTTATGATTTTTATAGACAGCGTGATATTATTCTAAAGATTTGATCGGCCGTTTGATAAATAACATTTCAAAATCTTTTAATTTTTTTTAAATATGTTCTTGAAGCTAAAAATTATCATAAAACCCCTGATTAAATAATAAATTCTTGGAGCTATAAAGATTATAAATTTGTATCATAATGGTTAAAAACGGGATTATAAAATTTCACATACATTTTAACCGTAGATATCAAAGAAGTTAGGGT